GTGAGTACTCTATGTAACGGTGTGTGTGTGTGTGTGTGTGTGTGTGTGTGTGTGTGTGTGTGTGTGTGTGTGTGTAGAGAGATAATAATGGGTAAAACTAAAGCTAGGTAGACAGACAGACAGATAGACAGACAGACAGACAGACAGAGAGACAGACAGATAGAATGCTTGATTGAATGATTGATTGATTAAAAAATTTCCACACAAGGAGCGGGGAACTTACCGACAGCAGCTGATTTCATTGGCCAGAGTCGCCTCATTGGCATATTGGCGTTGGGCCTGGGCGAACTAAGGGTGACAGTCAAAGAAATTGGCAATCGCGAAGTTAAAGAGAGGTATAAACACTTGGCGAGATCAGTACTTCCATGGTGGTCAGGAAAACAGCTGATCCGCTCCCAGCAGGAGAGAGCTAAAAGATAGAGAGAGATAGAGACCTTATCATAGGGTGGGAGGATAATTGCCTAATTATAAATACTCACTCGTAAACCCTATAATTAACTGCCTATAATGATGTTGTTATATGATGGTCCGTGAGTGATGCTATATTATAGGGTCTTACTGTGTGTGTGTGTGTGTGTGTGTGTGTGTGTGTGTGTGTGTGTGTGTGTGTGTGTGTGTGTGTGTGTGTGTGTGTGTGTGTTTGTATGTATACTGTCTTTATTTGCTAAGTGATACAATATTCTTGAGAAAGAGAGAAAGAATAACAGACAAAAGAAAAAAAAATAACGACCAAGAAATCTCCCCCCACACACCAGGTGTCGTCCTCCCCAAGCAGTGTCGAGGAGACATCTGTAAGACACAAACCCTTTCCTTCTAAGTTTTAAGTCTGGAGATTAGGAGAGGAGAGAGAGAGAGAGAGAGAGAGAGAGAGGAGGGGTATATTTCAAGCCTTAGAAGAGAGAGGAGGGGGGTGGCATTTCTCACACAAATTAAATGTATTTCAGATTTATATCACTTCAAATTTCTTCTTTCTTCCCACCCCTCCACTCTCCCTCTCATCTGCTTCTTCTGTCCTCCCTCTCCTCTCACTCTCCCCCACTTCTCCATTTCTCACGCCACTCTCCTCCCATCACCATTCCTACCCGCCCCCTCCCCTCCCCCTCCCCCTCCTCCCCCCTCCCCTCCCCCTCCCCTCCCCCTCCCCCCTCTCCCCGTATCTCAAGCTTCTCCTCTCCTCTTTCCACGCCCCTTCCCCTTAACCTCCCTCCCTCCCTCACCCTCCTTTACTTCTTTCTCTCCCTCCCCTACCAACATCCATTACACTCACACCTTCCTTCCCTTCCCTCCACCCTCCCTTCCCAATCCATTTCACACCTCCTCCATCTCCCCTCCATCTCAAACCTTCCTCCCCCCTGCACCATCTCACACCCTTCCACCTTCCCTCCCCTGCACCATCTCCCCCTTCCACCTTCCCTCCCACCATCTCACACCCCTTCCCCCTCCTTCTTCCCTCACTCAGCTTATCTTGTGGCCATCTCTGTGTAATGGGTAGCTGATCTCAAGGTACACTGATTCAAGGTGGTGCTCCTCTCTTTAATGCTTAATGTTGAATCTCTCCTGTCTCCTGCCTCTGCCTCCTCCTCCCGCCTCCCTGCCTCCTGCCTCCCCTGCCTCCTCCCCGCCCCTCCCCTCCCTGCCTCCCTCCCTCCCTGCCTCCCTCCCTGGCCTCCCTCCTGCCTCCTCCTGCCTCCCTCCCTGCCTCCCGCATCCCTCCCCGCCTCCCTTGCCCCTCCCCTGCCTCCCTGCCTCCCCTGCTTCCCTGCCTCCCCCGCCTCCCTGCCTCCCTCCTGCCTCCCTCCCCTCCCTCCTCCCTGCCTCCTGCCTCCCTCCCCTGCCTCCTCCCTCCCCTGCCTCCTCCCTGCCTCCCTGCCTCCCTCCCCGCCTCCCTCCCCTGCCTCCTCCTGCCTCCCTGCTTCTCCCCGCTTCCCCCTCCCCTGCCTCCCCTCCCTTTCTGGCCTCCCTGCTTCCTCCCTGCCTCCCTCCCTGCCTCCCTGCCTCCCTCCCTGCCTCCCCTGCCTCCCCCGCTCCCTTCTGCCTCCCCCTCCTGCCTCCCTCCCCTCCCCCCCTCCCCTGCCTCCTGCCTCCCCCCTGCGGCCCTCCCTGCCTCCCTGCCTCCCTGCCTCCCTCCCTGCCTCCCTGCCTCCCTCCCTGCCTCCCTGCCTCCCTCCCTGCCTCCCTCCGTGCCTGCTCCCTGAGACATTGTGAGTTGGGGAGAGGGAGGGAGGGAGGGAGGCAGGGACATTTTTCTGAGACACCCTATATATGTACGTTGTGTTGTGTTGTCAGGGAAACAATTGAGACCCAACTATTGTGTGTAAATGAGGCAGAAAGTCAGATCATCAACTTGGTCACATAAGGCAACAGCGTCTACCATTAAACAACACATTATGCTTCCAATATCTTCCTCCCTGTTTGATACCTGCCTACTACCTGTGAGTCTTAGAGATTCTTAAGCTTTGATGGCTGATAGTTGGTGATTATTATAATGAATCTCCCCCTAAGTTATCATCTTCAGGGATTCTAGAGTTCGATTCTTCAGCAAAATCGAGATTCTTACCATAATTTCACATTCTTATTGATACTCACCTCTAGTTCTTCCTCTGATCAGTAAGCTTCAGTGATTCTCGAGATGAATATTTCCCTTAACTCGTGTTTGTTCCCTCCGTGATTCTCAGTTTATGATTCTCCCACCAATAAAAACATCGTTAAAACACATTAAACTTAAAACACGTCATTAAAACAAGGTAAGTGAGTGTTGATGTTTACTTTATTTAGTATTTATATTTTTAATTCTAAGGTTATTGTTTGCAGTGAGGGGTTCTGGGGTGATAGGCTGAGGTGATAGGCTGAGGTGATAGGCTGAGGTGATAGGCTGAGGTGATAGGCTCTCTTTATAAGCCGTCATGTTATTGGTTGTGATGATATTTACGTTATATCTCAGGTTTACGATGAATGACAACTAAAAACACCCTTTCCATCGTCAAAATGAACAAATTTGGAATATTTTTTGATATTTTAAATTTAGATAATCGAGACCAAATGCATAAATAAACAGAAAACTCGAAAATAACCAAGTTAAGGCAACATGCTCACACACACACACACACACACACACACACACACACACACACACACACACACACACACACACACACACACACACACACACACACACACACACACACACACACACACACACACACACACACACACACACACACACACACACCACACACACACCACACACACACACACACACACACACACACACACACACACACACACACACTCACACACACACACACACACACACACACACACACACACACACACACACACACCACACACACCACACACACACACACACACCACACACACACACCACACACACACACACACACACACACACACACACACACACACACACACACTCCCACACACACCACACACACACACACACACACACACACACACATAAATAAACCCAGTATTCACTCCTACACAGTAAATCTTATTCTTTTACAAAACAAAATATTTTCGCTTTTCCTGAATGCCAAATTTCCGCCAAAATATTTGTTGCATCGCCAGAGACAAATTATTAAGATATTATTGAATTTTTTATTTTATTTTGAATATTTCGAAATTTTAACGCTATTTTTTTCAAGTGTCAATGAATACACAATTTTGTTAACATATTTCGCTCAATTGGTAAGACATTATAAATCCCCGTATACAGTTTATTACTCTCCGTCCTCCTCTCCCCTCCCCTCACCTTCTCCCCCTCTCCCCTACCCTCCTCTCCCCTCCCCTCACCTTCTCCCCCTCTCCCCTACCCTCCTCTCCCCTCCCCTCACCTTCTCCCCCTCTCCCCTCCCCCCTCCTCTCCCCTCCCCTCACCTTCTCCCCCCTCCCCCCTCCTCTCCCCTCCCCTCACCTTCTCCCCTCTCCCCTACCCCTCCCCCTCCCACCTTCTCCCCCTCCCCCCTCCTCTCCCCTCCCCTCACCCCTTCTCCCCTCTCTACCCTCCCTCTCCCCTCCCCTCACCTTCTCCCCTCCCCTACCCTCCTCTCCCTCCCCTCACCTTCTCCTATCTCCCCTACCCTCCCCATCTCCCTCCCCTCACCTTCTCCCTCTCCCCTCCCCTCACCTTCTCCCCCTCTCCCCCCCCTCCCTCTCCCTCCCCTCACCTTCTCCCCTCTCCCCTACCCTCCCCTCTCCCCTCCCCTCACCTTCTCCCTATCTCCACTTCCCCTCCTCTCCCCTCCCCCTCACCTTCTCCCCTGTCTCCCCTACCCCTCCTCTCCCTCCTCACCTTCTCCCCTCTCCCCTCCCCTCACCTTCTCCCCTCTCCCCTCCTCTCCCCTCCCCTCACCCCTTCTCTCTACCCACTCTCTCCTCCCCTCCTTCTCCCCTCTCCCCTCCCCTCACCTTCTCCCCTCCTCCCCTCCCCTCACCTTCTCCCCCTCTCCCCTACCCTCCTCTCCCCTCCCCTCACCTTCTCCCTATCCTCCCCTACCCCTCCTCCTCCCCTCCCATCTCCCCCCCCTCCTCTCCCCTCCCCTCTCCCCCACCCCTCCTCTCCCCTCCCCATCTCCCCTACCCTCCCTCTCCCCTCCCCATCTCCCCCCCCTCCTCTCCCTCCCCATCTCCCCCCCCCCTCCTCTCCCCTCCCCATCTCCCCTCCTCTCCCTCCCCATCTCCCCCCTCCTCCCTCCCCATCTCCCCCACCCTCCTCTCCCCTCCCCCATCTCCCCTGCCCTCCTCTCCCCTCCCCTCCCCACCTTCTCCCCATCTCCCCTACCCTCCTCTCCTCCTCACCTTCTCCCATCTCCCCTACCCTCCTCTCCCCTACCCCTCACCTGCTCTCCTCTCCTCTCAGAACTTGACACCAAAACACACAAAAAAATCTGACCGAGTCACAAAACTTGGCTGTGAAAAGTTCCTCCGTTATTCTCACCGTGTTGGGCAGCCTAACCTAAGTTGTTATCGTGCCCTCCCCC